TTGTTGCTATATTATATCATGATGTTTGAGTTTCTGTGCTCAAGTAATTTCCCTTGTGGATCTATAAAGTTTGTCTAAATTGCCCAGTAACTACTGAATCTGTATAAAAATAATAAATATAATAATCTGTATACATTAAAATGCACTTATCTAGAAAGGCTTGCATACAGAATCACACTTACTATTGTTCTGTATTGCACTTTATTAGTCTGTGCTTTTGGTTGGAAATTCTGAAACATTACATGTAAAGTACTTTCAGCTAAGAAATGTGCTATATAAAACAAATAAGTTATTATAGGTCTATTATAACCCCCATACAAGGCTCTCAGAAAGGGATCATTTAACTGAACCTGGCAACAACTTACCCTACATTGTGCATGGTAAATATGAAATCAACTGATTCTCCACAGATAAAACCACACAAGAGAGTTATTTCACTCTGATACGGACCACTGAGATCCGCCCCAGACAAGTGGTGAATATTTAGGGAGTTCCACTTCTGAACACTGGTGGCATGTCTGTGTCAGCGCACATCTGTGGGAAACGGGTCACATGACACAGGAGTTTGTTTGGTTGCCAGGCGACAGATTCAACAACGGTGCTGCTCCTGTCTCTGAGAAACATCTCACAGCGTCTTCCAAATACCAGTTAAATATTTGCATCATGCTCACAGTGACAGAATGTACAGGAGAATGTTGTGTCACGTCACTACTAGAGGTATGCTAAAATATCGAAATACTGATATATCATACAAAATATGGTGATACAGTATTGTTATTGTGGGATGTTGTATTGATGTATCACCAAGAGTAATTTTTTAAAATATATTTTACCAAATAATTTTGTGTGTGCAGTTTTTATGTTTGTTTCAAAGAAAGGAAACTTGTTTATGCAGTACACTTGACATATCCACTGTTTTAATGGTTACAACAGATAATGGTGTAACAAATAAATACTGTTGTTAAAATGTTTTTGGTTCTTAAAAACAGGGACATATTGCAGAGTATCATGTGCAATATATCGATTATATGTCTTGCTATATTGTGCTAATATCACACCGCGTATTGTTATGAATTGTGAAGGACCCTGCGATTCCCAGCCCTAGTCCAGTGTTGAATGTCAGCAGTGGAGTTTGTGAACAATTAGAGCTACTGCAGTAGGTTACAATTTAGCTCCATCCAAAAGCCATATTCAGTTTTGTAATCTCAGGTTAGGATAAAGCCCAGTGCTTCAAGTCAAGCCAGTTCCATCAAATTAAAAATGTCTTGACCACAAAAACAATTGAAATTGTCTCTACAATATTCATAATCGAGGAGTCGTACTGTCAGAAAGTCCTTCTGATCAATTAGTATCTTACTGGACAAGACTAATCTATACAAACTTGGACACAGTAAAATTACTTTGAATCTGGTCATTTTTACCAGTCAACAATATCGGGTACTCGCTGTGTTTTAGACTCGTCTGAGTTAATTTTTTATTCTTATCAGAGGTGGGAAGTGTAGCTAATTAAAATGCATTAAAATAATATCGCACAAGTACAAAGTAGTGGGCTAAGAAATAAGATTAGATTCATCTTTATTGACATTGCCGTCACTGTCTAACCAGGAATGCAAAGAAGTAAGGAGAAAGAAATTAACATATGATAGGAATGTGTAGCTAGCAATATTTTTACTAGTATAGTGCAATTGTTATGAGCAGGGCACTTTCCACCACCCGCTGGAGTGATTTGCGCTCTGCCACAGACCATTTCCCATACCAGACTGTAATGTAATTTGTCAGTTTGCATTTTGATTGCGAAGACATAGAAATATACCAGGACGACAGAGGACAGATTGTTCTTCTTTAGTATTCTCAAAAAGAAGAGGTGCTGGTGTGACTCCACGATGTATAGCCCAAAGAATTTAAACATGGGGACTTGTTCAGTGTGTTTTTTTTTTATGTGTATTTTTGGTCCTTTGCTTGCTTGTTTCTATGGAAATGTCATTCCTCTGCCTGAAATGTTCCACAGTATGACATTAAACAGCTCTATCTTACATTTGTTAAATTACAGGTGGTTTTACAGCTCAATAATACCTAGAAAAACATTAATTGTGACTGTGAGTGGGGTTGCCTCTCCACAGATCTGACTGGTAGTCTGGTTTGGTCTCCATATAGATAGAAATGTTTAATACAATACTGTGAAACATTACAGACAAAGCAATAACATATCCACGGAGAAAAGTATTTGATGGACTGTCCACCAGAAAATGTTCAAATCATTTCATGTTGTCAATATAAATTTTTGTCACTTGTGGACTGTGGCAAGAGTAACAAAAACTTTTACTCAGGTAATAGTACTGCTGCACATGAAATAAACTACCCATGCAGGATTAAAGGGACAGTTTGGAATTTTGGACATAGGGCCTCATGTCCTAGTGAGCCAGAGTGTTGGAGATGCGTGGAGACACTTTTAAAATATTCCATCCAGTTCTTATATTTGCAGAGGTTGCTGGTGCTAGGCTAGTGCATGTTAATGGCCATAGTTATCTTGCCAATAAAAATAGTTTTACCCACTCCACAAAACACCCAACGCAAATCTGTTATTACGCCAGACTGTTGTTGTTAATTTCTGTGTTGACAGAATAATGTCTGAAATAAAACTAACCTTGCATCACATGAATCATCACATGTTGAGGGACTATTTTCTCAGCTTTCTATCAGTAGGTACAACTTGCTGTTGTTGCTCAGACGTAAATCCTTCAAATGCAAGGATGGTTTTACTTCTAAAACTATTCTATCAACACAGACATTCACATTGACAGTCTGGCATAATAATAGATTTGCGTTGGGTGTTTTGTGGAGTGGGTAAAATGTTTTTTTTTTTTTTTTTTTTTTATTAATGCACACTAGTGATATTACAGTGTTATTTTTTTTTTTATTAAAGTGATGAATATGAATATGAATATGGTTTTGATGTTTTCTAATTATGTTTCTAATTCTGACTTGACTTGGTGGGATAGTACCTGTAGTAAATGTTCGTCACAGTTTTACGTCAGTGAAGTGTCAGTTTGTGGGTCAAAAGTTGAGAAGTACAAAAATACAGGAAGTGTTCTATAACGGAAAACCTCTACCTATATCATCAAAGCGTTGACAATTTCCACACAGGGAAGGCATTTTCAGACAGTTTAAACCTTAATTTAATAAAATAAATGTTTGTCATTTATTTTTATTAGTATAATCATAACTATTGTACATAATAATCCAAAACTATTGTTTTGGCCTTTTACATTATGGTTGCTACGTAACAGTTATGGAATTACTGCTGTGTATTATCTCCATGTAGGAAGTAACATTATAAACTTAACTGAAAAACTAGGCATAATTTTAGTAAGTAAGGAAATGAGTATATGTATGTGTATATGTGTGTGTATATATATATACATACATATATATATATATATATATATATATATATATATATATATGTATGTATATATATATATATATATATATATATATATATATATATATATATATATATATATATATATACACATACAGTCATCTACATCTTACCTGCCCCTGCCTCAGCTCAGTCACTTTGTCCAGTGAGCTCAGAGAAGAGGAGAGCACTGGCCAGGATCATGAGTCATTCTCAAATGTTCCAACCACAAGTTTAGGGACAGACTTGAAATGAACTCCTCCATCTGTACAAACGTCACTGGAAACTGCAGACATGTCAAAAAGCCCAGTGCATTTATTTCTTTCCTCTCTTAAAATATAAACTAATAATCAACCTTCATACATAGTGATGTTGTGATACTGTGTTTTGTTTTTGTTTTTTTGTTAAACTTTTTTCCCCCAACATCTTATGATCTTTACTGGTTGTCCATTTTTAAATAGGGGGTATTATGCAAAATGGCCTTTTTCAAGCTTTCTATCATCAAGATTTTATATCATTTATGCATGTTTGAGTAATCTAGCGATCTTTCCTGGGCCTTATTCAAACTGTTTTTTTATGGTTAGCAGAACAATCCTATTGAAAGCACAGCCCCATGCTCTTATACTTTCTCCATAAATATACAAGCATGATTCAAAACAATACAGTACAACTTCACAAACCCTATGGCGCTCTGAAGGGGGTGTGACTTAGTGTGCAATGGAAGGGTCTAAGGGGTGGCTTTCAAAAAAGGTAACTTGGTGCTCTGAATGTTATTTGTTAGCAGTTAATACCCACAGAAGTGCAATATCTCCTCTTTAACAGCCTATAAAAATGTATGGGTAAATTACAGTCCAATTAAATGTAAATGTACGTAAAGCAGTCCACATGTGCTCTTATAAATAGTACTAGAGAAGGGCTGACGTCACCATGGAGGCGGTATGTACACTGTCATCGTCCCTGTTTGGGAAATGCCTGAAAGGATGTTTATGTTAGCACTCTTTTTTTCAGCCCACTGGAAATGGAAAATGACTATGTCCTTTCAAGGACAGTTTGGGGCACATCTGAAAATAGAAGCCTCTCTGGTTAAACGTGACACAAAACTGAGCTACAATATCACACAATCACATGGACATATGTGCAGATAATGCTGCTGGGCTCAAACAGTTTGAGTGAATCCTCAGTTTAGTCAAGTTTAGTTCTGTTTAGTTTAGTCTGAGATCTCTGTATGCATGTGTTTGCTGTAGTCTGATCCTCTTCCGAGTAAACTATTATTGAGAAGTTATGTGACTGAATCAGACTCTAGTTAAGAAATGTAAATATAGAACACTGATAACAATAATGCATTGTTATAAAAAGGAAATGAGACATCTGAAACTTCTTAAGTGTACCTCCGAGCAGTTTAGTGTTTAGTTGGGACATTATTTTTAAAATACTGTTACGATGTTAAACCCAGACGGATGCTCAAAGAGTGACACCTAATGTATTATGTACTTGAATGTAGTACTTGATGTAGTATTGAATAAAGACAGGACACCTTTCCCTGCCCACATACCCTAACAGTGGTTGTGTTCTCCCTCAGGTGAGTGTGCTAACCACTCTGGAGCGGCGCTTCAACCTTCAGAGTGCCGATGTAGGAGTGATCGCCAGCAGCTTTGAGATTGGTAACCTGGCCCTCATCCTGTTTGTGAGTTACTTCGGGGCCCGAGCACACCGGCCCCGGCTCATCGGCTGCGGGGGCATTGTCATGGCGCTGGGGGCCCTGCTCTCGGCCCTTCCGGAGTTTCTGACCAGCCAGTACGAGATGGGAAAGATGTGGAGGACAGACATTGGGAGGGAGGTGTGTTCAAACAGCAGCAGCAAACAGGCCCAGGAGGCAGAAGACAGTGTGTGTCAGAACAAGGCCAACACAAACATGATGTACCTGCTACTGATTGGGGCACAGGTGCTGCTGGGCATTGGGGCCACACCCGTGCAGCCGCTGGGCGTGTCCTACATCGACGACCATGTGCGCAAGAAGGACTCCTCACTCTATATAGGTATGACACTGCACACTACACCAGTACAGACTGTGCTTAGACATGGGCTTTAATCATAATCAGGTGTAAGAGTAATAAGTGTGATGTCATCAACAAGGAACAATAAGCGATTTTGCACAATGTTGGTTATAGACATTTTCAAAAAGAGCTTTGTTAATATGGCTTTTTAGCCTTTAATTTATAATAATAGTTTTGTCACAATACTACAGTTTTAAGTAAGTAACTGTTAAGTCCTTTTATGGTTTGCGTACTTTTGTACAGCAGCACTGCTTTGTCTTTTCCCCAGGCCACATTTGGTCACAGTGAGGTGTTTGTGCTTAGCTCATCAGGCCAGGTGCCGTTTGTAGCTGACTCGATACTTCTACTGTGTACAGTCTGAGTACAGTCTGAGTACAGTCTGAGTACAGTCTGAGTACAGTCTGAGTACAGTCTGAGTACAGTCCAAAAATAAAGTCTGAATACAGTCTGAGAGTACAGTGTGTATACAGTCTGAGAGTAAGTCTGAGAGTAAGTCTGAGAGTACAGTCTGCATGCAGCTTGAGTACAGGAGCCACACAGAGTAGTATTACAGATGAGCCGTACAGAGGAGCCGTAGAGGGCGGATGCAGTACACATAGCTGCCATACCAGAATGTGCTCTTCAGACCCGTGACGTGTGCTCCTCCTCAGCATGTTTATCTTTCCGTCTTCACAACATTACCAAGCTGTGCCCATTGGACGTGCTGTCTGTTTACACAGTCTGGTTTTATATTGTGATATTTCTGTTGTGGATATGTCTGCTTATCCATTCATTTATAGACTCCACATGCATGTGATCATGTTTCCAAGGGTGTACAACAAGCAGTACTTAAAACAGATATTAAAGGAGCACTGTGTAACATTTCTGTGGGAGTGTCAGCCATCTACTTGTTTCTGTGAAAATGGGATTGGCTTTGTCTGGTCAGATCAATGAAGTGACAGTAAGAATGCATGTTTTTATTGTTTTGAACAATAAGGACACCTGGTTCCGGAGGTAAATCTTGTTAAATTTAAGCCAGGCGGATTAATCAATCAGAGAAACACATGATCTGTTCATGTGAAAACATGAACAGACCACGGCGGCTTACGAGTAAAAAAAAGGAAAAAATTACACAGATGACTGACAAACAGCAGATTTCTGCAGAATCAACAACAATTTTATGTGAGATTTTTGAGCAAAGATATCTTCTGCATTTGAGAGACACATGATGCAAATTAGTCAGATTCAGTTAGTTCAGTTCAGTTGACGATGTTGTACTAAAATTGCAAACTCGATTTCAGTACCAAGGAATAGACTCGATACTCAACACCAATTCTGATACCGATAATAAAACACTCCAGACAGTAGAATGTGATTTTCAACATTAAATAATACCATGTGGTCTTATATCTGTGTAATCCCTCAATTGTACAGATAGGTTCCATAGTGGGCATGGGGGTATGCTAATCTGTGTGGTCTAATACTAGTTCTGATACACCTCATTCTAAAGATATACAGGAAAGGTTCATTTCTATGACTTTTATAGTATTAGTACTTCCTCAAATGTGTATCTAATTTCAGTACTAGTTTTAGTGTCTATTAGTATCTGATTTTTATATTTTGACCTCGTTTCACATCTGGTACAGGTCTGACACAGGTCCAGTGTAGACCATGTCTGATAAGGCGTACATAGCATGCAGTGAACATTGTTTCCTTGAGATGCTGATGGTTCTAATCCCTGCGCTGCCCACCGGTCATGTGCCCTGGCTGCATGAATGAAGCGTCTGTCTGTACCATGAGTCTTCTCTCTCTCCTCTGGGCTATGGTTTATTCATGAGCACTCAGCAGACTCAAACAGCTCTGTCTACTGCACTAATGTTTCTGTAGGCCTCCACGTTGAATGTCTGAAGACTTGATTTAAGATTACGTTATTTAATTGTTTGCCACCAATCCTCGTCACTGCTAAAGTTAGTCAAGAGGTGATAAAATTTGTTAAAAATAAAACAGAGAGAGAGTTGTTCAGAATCAGAATAAGTGTTATTGCCATTGTCCATTGTCAACACCACTTTGGTTATAATGTTTCCTCATTAAAAATATATCTGAAGTTGCGGATTGTTTCATTCACACATGTTGAACACACAAACCCTGCATATTTAGGCTGAGTTCTCTCAAACAGAAAACACTGAAAACACATTGTAATGCCATGTGGTAATACAGGGAGTGATCCACTATGTTTTTAAACCCTATACAACTTCACTACTACCTCTACTGAGCAAAATGTAGCCAGACTAATAATGCAAGGTTACTCAAACATGTGTGAATGAACAAAACATAACTCCGGGCATGTTTTTGATGCGTTAACATTATAACATGGCTAAAAGCTCACAAGAGTAATTTTTGTGTAATATAGGACCTTTAAAATCAAAATACTGGGTCACTAATGTTTAGTCTACAAACTCCGAAAGTGGACTCATTGCAATTTATTGCTTCTAATTCTCACCTGCCAATATGGTGCCCTTAGCAAATTTATTCACATGGGTCCCAGAGGTCTGTGCAAAAAGAATGATTACTTTTGCATTGATTGTGTTGCTAAAAATAGGTATACAAAAGGGATCGCTGGTGCTTTCCACTTTTTTTTCCTATTGTGAATTATTGCATACTTACTACAGGCGGGACGAGTTACAATTTCCACAAGATGAGACACAAGATTCAAGATCTAAGAGAGCAAGACAAGATGAGACTTTGACATTGTTTATAATAAATATATCGTGTAATCCAGTTCCCAGTTTTAGGCTCGCCATTTTTGATTCAACATTTTCAACATGTGTGTACAATCTTGTCGCAATCTTGTCTCGCGAAATCTTGTCTTATTACAAATAATTACCAACCAATCTAGACAAACTGTAACATACAACTGGAATAGAAAAATACATCTTTAATATTCCAGATAGGGCTGGGTGATATGGGAAAACAAGTTATGATTTTCCATCCATATTGATCATCATAGGACCAGTAATTCCAGAGAAATTCACATTTAATCGTTGGCATGAGGTTGTAAAATATATTAAACCTAATGGATGTGCACGTTGCCGTTAGCAGCAGAAACGTGCACATGCATGCTACGACTATAAACAGAAACGCATGTCATGTCCTTGCATTAAATGACGTCTGAAGTTTCACTCTAACACAGTGAGAAAATAGTCATTTACTTTCCATAATTTGGATTATAAAGATGAGAAGCACCAGAGGAGAGAAAAAGGAGAAAAGGTGAGGAGCTGCGGCTAGAGCAGAGATGGAAGGAGGGGTAGAGGTGGCAGATTGCTCCACACACACACAGAGGCAGAGGGAGAGAGACACACTGGACTTTTATTCAAATTGTGCAGATTTAAGTCAAAACTTGTCAACACTTGAGGAGACAAAGGGACACGCTGTGGCTCAGGCGGCTTTTTCCTAAACAAGAACGTAAATCCTTGTCAACACCACGCTCTTACTGCCACGCGATTGACAGTAGACCTGTCAGTGAAATAAAATGCACATGCCTCATCATCGAGATCGACCAAAGTAGAGATCACAATCTATCAATCTTTCCATTTTTGGCACAGTCCTAATTTCACATAATTATCAAATACATCATGTTTCCTCATCTCTTATAACCCCGGATATCTGCACTGTCTCTACTGTGTGAATCTAAATGAGCGGTTAACACAGAGCCAGTCTATCAGGGATCTGTGACATGACGCATTCACACCTCCAGTGCTCCATTTTCCCACACTCTGAGCAGCCCTTGAAATGCTCACACCAACAAGCCTGTTGAGCAAGCCTCTGACTGCAGCCACCCTGTCATTTGAGCTGTCTGTGGCTGTAATGAGAGGCTAGTCCAGGTGAGATGTTTACACCTGGTTAAGAGCTGCTTTGGTTCATAATGATGGCCCTGTTCATATCTCTTGAAGTTGTGGTTCAGACCTGGTTTAGACCTGGTTTAGATCTGGGTTAGACCTGATTTAGACCTGGTTTGGATCTGGTTTAGTCCTTTTTAGTCTTGATGTACAGTAGTTCTGTTGTGGCCTTACAATGCCTTAAATCGCGTCTTAATTTGAGCTCTTCCGATCTTGTGTTTAATCCTGGCCTCCTTCTATTCTATTACTGGTTTAGTCCAAATCTAGTCTAGCATCTTTATTTGTTCTTGGTCTTGCGTTTGGTTTAGTCCTGGTTTAATCTATTTTAGGATCTGGTAAACAAAACAATCTGGTAAAACGTGAAAAACACAACTAGCAACAATTGAGCAATGCACCATGGTGAGTTTAACTGCGCTTTTCACAACTTTGCCAATGCAAGAGTCTTACTGTCATAGCAAAACTAATAATTACTAGCCTTCTAGCGCGCACTTCCTGATTCTCAGACAATACATCAGACAGCACACAGCTGACTTATTTTGACCTCAAGTGCTGCTTATAAATTATATCTGTACAGGCACAAGACACATTTTGCAAAATACATGTAGAGAAGTTTGACCCTTACAGGACACATTTAGTTCTTGTTCAGACCTGGCTTAATCCTGGTTTAGGTCTATTAAAGTAACTGGGTTATTCTTGGTCTAGTCTTGATTCATATTTGGTATAATAAATAAAATATGGAGATTCACCTTTGTATGACCTTAGGAGAGGCTGGACAGGGGAGTGGTACAGCAGATGACCCCAGTGCAGTGCAGGGCCTGGGGCAGATGAAATGACAGAGGAGCTTGGAGAACATACCACACAGGCCTGAGAAAAACATCACTATGTTGACTGGCAGACAGAAGAACTGCATTGTAATCAGATACAAGTCACTATTGACTGGATACTACCAAGTTGTTTTTTATTTTATTTTATTTTATTCAGCAAAAATAAATAAATAAATAATAATAATAACAACAACAATAGCAATAATCATCATCATAATAATAATGGTAATGTTTTATTTTTATTATTATTATTTATTTATTTTTTCAAATAAATTATTTTGGCAAAAATTTGTTTTATATTAGTATGAATTTGAATTTTTATAGCTTTGCTGATGC